TCTTTCAGGCTAGGTACTGTATTGAGAACACATTGATTGTTTCTTTCTTTCTTTCTTTTTTCTTTCTTTTTCTCTTCCTTCCTTCTTTCCCTTCCTTCCTTCCAGATGTTTCCAATCCTTCACCTGGAAACAGAAAATTCATTGGAGATATAGTTGCAGTTTCTACTTTTTCCACATTATCACATTCTTCTCTGTAGACTTTTCTGATTCTTGACAGGGACCCATTCACAGCGATTAACTTCAGCAATGAAGCTATTGAAGAAATCTTGATTCATATATGTGAACCAAGATGGAATCTGAATCATGGTCAACAGTCACTTATGAGAACAGCTGTACTGTCTGAACAGCGTTCTCCATTCTCCAAATGTCCCACAGGGCTCATTTGGAGCCTATAAATGGTGGAATATGCCTTTTTGGGTATCTGTGTGTTTTGCTGTGAAACTCTCCTTTACGCACGTGATAAACTGCAATCCCATCCTGGTAATAAAGTCATGTTATTTCACCCCGCCAAATACGTGGAGCTGGCCGCAACAGAGGGGCACAGCACCATGGTGAACTTTATGAGGGATGGAAAATGTTTATTCAGCTGAAAGCGAGAAAGGTTTGGAGCCCCAGAATACATCTAATGACAAGAGCAGAGGAGGGAGAGCCAGCTCTGGCACAGCGTGGCAAGTCATTGGCACACCCAGGTGAACTCAAGAGAAGAACAGCCCAGAACCTCTGGGTCAAAAGTCCCCTGTTGGCCTCATGCCTTTGCAAGCACTAATTACAAGGGCTGTTTCACCTAGAACCAGAATATTGCTAGCAGCCGTGGCTGCTTTGTCCTCGGGGTAACCATAGTTAACTGCAATCAAATCACTCAGCAACATCTCATAGGGTTGTTGTTGTGGGGAAAATAGGAGGCAGGAGATATGTTCACTGCCTTGAGTTTTATCCCAAAAAGTAGAATAAAAATATAATAGTAATAACAACACAACTAAGATTTTAAAGGAGCCCAACAGGATCATACATACCGTGACCATACATAAAAGACAGTCCTTTATTTTATTTTATCATAAAAGACAGTCCTTTATTTCGGAAAGCTGTCCTTTAAATGTATTTATTTTTCAAAAGCTCACTTTGGTCCTTTATTTTGGTCGCTTAACTTTTACCATACAAATGGTAACATTTAATGCACAATCTTTCACATTCATGTGAAAAATATGGAAACTGAATGGTCCTTTTAAAATAAATTTACATACCCTGTTTGATTTTAGATATTTTTATTAGAATCTACATTTTTGTAAAGTTTTTCTTGGCTTTGCTCTTGAATTTTCCTTTGTAAAGCAGTTACAAGACATAAGCAATTAATTTTTTTGTTTTATCCTTATGAACCTCTTTCAGATTTGCCCCTTTTTCAGGATTGTCCTTTATTTTTTTCCAAGAAAATATAGTCACTGTAATTATATGCTGTGCCATGGCCCTTTGGAGCACTTACGGTCTCTAGAATCTTTTGGAAAGTTACAAGGATTCATCATTCTCAACAAGTCTCTTTCCATCCTTGCTGCAAGACTGTTAAACGTGCAAAAATGGAAAGATTCTGAAATACCCACAACGGAGGAATGGCTGGTGAAGACGATGGAACTAGCAGAGATGGCAAAATTGTTCGATTAGAGAAAGATCAACAACAACATTTATCAGTGACTGGAAATCCCTTATGGAGTTTTTGCTTAAAAAAAGAGAAAAATGAACTTGTGATTTATGGGTTTGAGATTAGAAGAGGTAGCTTATGGAAAAACGGAAAGTGTGATGCAACCTTAGAGAAAAAGGGTAAAATATAAATGCATTTATAACAGCTGTCAAGAAGATTGGACGCCGCGTCTGTATAATCTTTTCTCTTGTTTCTTTCTTATTCACTATTCTTCCTTATTTTCTTTCTTAATAGGTGTATTGTTTTTATCTTGTTACAAATTTCTTCAATAAAAATTCTATTTAAAAAAAGTGAGAGACTTTCCATCGCTGCAGGAGGAGAGTCGGTAGCCAAAGATCAGGAGTCCTCCCACAGCACCCTTTCAGACTAACAAATGTTATTAAAAAGCATCAGCTTTCCTGAGCTACGGCTCACTTCAGCAGGTGCATTGCCTCTACAGATATAGATTAACCAATTTAAACATAAATCTAGAAAGAAATCACGATCTCCCCAACTGCAAACTGAAATGCAGCGACCTACAGTACTGCAAAGGGTAACGCCTGCTTATCGGACATTAGGAAAGTTCTTATGAAACTTCGGATTCACCTTGCGAATCCCGCAAGAAATATAAAACGCAAAGCGCGCTGGAGTGCAACAAAAAATAGGGGCCGCAGCAAACAAAAGCGATGGTAGCTCGCAACTTTAGAATTAAAGCAGCTTTTTTCCACTCCCATCCTTCAATTAGATCCTAAGGCGAGAGGGAGCGCCACGACGCACGCGCAGAAGCGTGCGCCGGCCAGGGCGCGCGCGTGGCAGCAGCGGAAAAAAAAAAAGAGCACGCGGCCGAGAACTCACTAAGCATGCGCTTCCCAGACCTGGAGGAGAAGCACGGGAAGCGCCTGCGCGGGAAAGGGAGGCGCGGGAGGGGGGAGGCGATCGGAGGCTATCAACTGCGCCTGCGCTGGCTTGGGCAGGTTGGTTCACGCCTGGTTACCTGGAGCGCGGAGGCCACAGGTGAGGCGGCGGCGCGCTCCTGGGGAAGGGGCGGGCAGTGCGCGTGCGCGTGCGCTTTTTGAGGCGGGGGAGGTGAGGCAGATGTGAGGGAACGCGTTTTCACGTTTGGGTGAACGCGGAAAGGGCCTGGGGAGGGAGTTTGCTGAGAGAAGTGGGGCTTGGTTTGAGGATGAAGGGGCCAAGGGGCTGTGAGGGGAGCCGCCTGGGTTGCTTTTGAG